TTTTGCCATCTCAGCCTCTGCTTGCCCAACTCCCCTTTCGAACAGCGTAAAATTTAAGTCTGTTTGGCAAATACTTAAACAGGTTTTATTATAAAGGCATATTATCTTTAACCCCCTCCCATGCTATATATATAAAATACAAAGACCATCTGCAGCATCTGTACACATCTTAGAACTGAAATGTAAAAATGTCTGAAATCTCCTTATAAAAGACAATCCTGTTTAAATATAGTACCCATTTTTTTTCCCCCCAAAGGGTACTAGCCTAAACATCAATATATATATATTTTTTTTTTATTCCACCAACTGCCTGTGTGGAGTAATTTATTTACACATTTTTGGTACCTTTAAACCAAAAAAAAAAGTTATACTTCTAAGGAAAAAAAAAAAAAGACACCATAGTTTTAACTAATTTTAAAACAAAAAAAAAGAAAAATCAGTACCAACAGACACTAAGCACACAGGTTGAGGTCTTTTATGTCAAGTATCAGGCCAGGGAAAGCAGTAAGCTAATTAAAAAAAAAAAAAATTCACAAAAGTAAACTAATAAGAACATTTGAATAATGAATTGAACAAGTTAGATGACTGCTCCAGCAAGCCTGTAAATAAACACAACTCGTTTGTGGACCATTTAACATGCTCAGACCGTCTTGCAGCATAATTAGGCAATTGAGGTGAATACACGTTTTTTCCTCACAAACAGTTGACCAGAGCCAAGCTGGCATCATGTCGCAACACGCATGTGCGTGTCCGCATGCAGACGCACAGGTGCGCACGTGTGCGCACACACACGCTCAGCTTCTTTGCATAAAAACTGGTTTTGGGGTTTGGTTAGTTAAAAAGGAATTCTACTATACACCCCACCCCCTCCCACCCCCCCCAGCATTAGCTCACCTTCACAAAGACACTGCCCGCTTATCCCTGCCCAGCCAAACACGTGTGAGAAAGCAGCGAGCCCACTGCTCCCCAGCAGCTTTGTACGTTAGGGAATTTTTAGCCTGGGGAAAATAGGGTCATGTCTGCACTGGACTTCTCTAGCACAAAGCCTGTGCCTGTAAGGCCACTCCCGATGCATATTCTCTAATATAATAAATACTTAAGCAATCTTAGACAACCAAAACCCACACTGTGACTTAGGCTGTGCTGAAGCCCAGTTTGGTTTTACAAATTAAGAGCTCCAAATCTGATCCCTCCCTGCCTTTTTTTAACACTATTATACTGTGTATTATCATCATGCAGCTCCCCTCCCACCCCCGCCAATAACTGAGCAGAGCTTCCAGTCTACCATATAAGGCTTTCGGTGCCTTAACTAACTAGTGAGTCAACACCTCACTAGAGGCTCAGTGGTGGGTCCATAGCCTTTGTGTTTTACACAGAAATCAGTTAATATAAAATACAGCCTTGCTGCTAAGAGAAGGCAGTAGTCGACAGAAGCCTTAACCTATGATGCATTACTTACTATTCCTCCACCCTCTTGCTTTTCTCCTTATGAAACTTAGGCTTTTTTCTGGCACAATGTCCAGGGGAGAGGTATCATTTAAAAGGTTTTAGAGCAAAAAGGAGGCTGCTGCATTAAACAGAGAGGCTCTTGGATTTAATTCCCTCAAGCAGTGCTTGCCCTTGGCACTGTCCCTCTGGACACACAGGTATGTAAAAAGGCAGCACCACTAAACCAACAGCACTAGCACCCCTGGTGGATTTGGCCACTTGGAGCATGTCCTCCTTTCTGGAAACCAGTAGGACTTAACTACGAATTCTGCTGAAAGCTACTTCATCCTATAGCAAGGCGAGGAGACGGTCGGCAGGCATCAGGATCCATGCAGGGATATAACGCTGAGTATTTGAGGTGTTCATATAAAAAAAGTCAAGCTCTCGTGAGACTTACAAACAAGCTTAACCTTAAAGAGTAAAAAAACCTACTGTCTCTTGAGCTGGCCTTCTGTTATTTCCAGAAATGGAGCAGGGGAGGCGGGGGACGGAACAAGAACTTACCACACCAATCTATTGTAAAAAGCTGGGGGGGAGTCAGCTGCATTAGAGTAATCTTGCTACTGTTTCCTCCCAATTAAAGGCACTTCTAAAGCTACAATACCATATCTACAGTAAATGTTTTAAGGTTAACAGTGCATTGTCCTGAAGTTGATTCCTATAGTCTAAAGTCAAGCTCATGCCAAAGAGCACAAATTGATGAATTGTTAATGAATGCATCTGGGGAGAGAAAGCAAAGGGAACAACGCCCCCCTATGGGTACAAACTGCATTAACACACGCATAGGTCGATCAAGTCACAGAACATGGCATGTATGTATGTATGTATGTAAGTATCTATGTATGTATGTAAGTATTCGTCCTGGAGAGGCGATCTGATAGAATTTTGTTCCCAGATGTCAGCTGTCGGCCTCTGTCCACTGTGCATAACTACTCTGATTTGCCAAACTGATTTGACACAAGAGTCACTTCAGTCACTATCTGGGAAAAAAGGTGTTTGAAGCAGAACCCTCCTTAATGACCACACCGAGCCTTTCAATTAGCTAACGAAACGCTCCATCACATATAATGAGCGAAACCACTAAAACACAGAATGAATCAGGGACCAGAAGCCCTGGCAGGTGAGAACTACTGGAGACAAAATTGTGCGATCTGAAGCATGACTCGCTTTGCTTTTAAATATTTGTGCAAAACTTAGGTAATGTTTGTATATAAAAATTATTACAGCTTTCGATGCCGCATTTAGCAGTGTTAACTTAGAAAAGACAAAACAATATGCTGTACTCTCCCCAAACCTTTAAACCATCACATCACCTTAGTCTTCGTTCGCAAGCGTCTCAGTGGATAGCCAGATTTTGGCACCACTTAAAAATTTGCTTAAAGGTGTTCCCAGAATGCTCCGTCTGCACAGGTTCCCTACAGGAGAAAATGGGAATGAGGAGGAGAGAAAGTCTGGGGCCCCGGAGGTGTCATTTAAACTGTTTGCTCTGAAGTACATCCTGCTCTGATCCAGTTCCAAGCAGTTGCCTTGCAAAGAAGAGCTGCTTTTGTACTGCCGAAGATTCCGGTTTAACATGTCTACTTCATCTGCCAGCAAAGAAACTTTATGGAAAGCAGTGATGAAGCCACCATGATTAATCTGGGCTTCAGGAACCCAGCGGAAGTAGCACAGCTTCCACAGTTTTATTTGTGTTCCGGAGATGCGGGGTAGAATTACGCCGTGCAAATCAACAGGCTTTGCGAACCAGTCTCTGAAGTACTGTTCCATACTGTTACTCTGACTCTCTGTTTGCTGTAAAAAGTCCGGTTTCAGTTTTAGTATCAGAGAGTTTCTTCTTGGAAGGAACTCTTGCTCACTGATGATTCCGTTTTTTAATGCTGGGGGGACACCTCGCAATGTGGAGCTGTAGTTTTTCTGCAGAAAATAAATACTGGTAATTTTCCAGTTTTATGCTCATTTGAATAGCAGATTTCCCTGAGCTGCTAGGATTCCAGAGAAATGATGTGACCTTTACACAGTTCTGAGCTTGTCAGTCGCTACTGCAGGGCCCACAGGGCAAACAGTGTGGCCACCTGCGGCCCTTAAAGAGAAAGACATATGTTTTCTAAATTTTCTAAAACAACGAATGATTGAATTAATCAGTACTCACTGAAAAAGCTGACAGCCCTGGGGGAAAAGAGCGGCATGCCATCATTTTCCATAGATGAAATAACGCAAATGTTGGCAGTGAGCTCAGCCATATCAGAAAATGTCCTGGAACGTGGGGCTCAACAACTGACATCGTTCTACAGAAAATCATTTCTTTAAGCTGGGAAGCTAAGAGAATTAATGCTCCTATTGCTAAACTGAGGGTGTAAAACACTAAAGAACTGTAAGTTTTTAAGCCTTAACACCTTACGGCCAAGCACAGAAACAGTCCATTCACAGACAGACATCACTATAGTTACCTTTGAGCGTTTAAAAGTTTTCACTGCTCCATTTTGTACGCACGGTGCACTCTTTTTTCCAATATACAAAGGGTTGTGAAAGAGCAGGCGATCCCTGCTTGTAAACTGAAGAGACCAGTCCCAAACACAAGGAAATTTCAGGCCTTTCTCATCACCCAGCTGAATGTTTTTGCTTATGGCAAATTCCTGCAAGAAGTTAAAATTCAGACATACTAAAAATCAACGAAAATAGGCTTATTCACAAATCTTAATTATAAACCAGTGCATAACTACTGGGCAAGGGATATAATTTAGAGGTGGCTGCAGATCAAAGCAACAGAGCAGTGAGACAGTCTGCTGCTGGAGAAAACGGCTGTACCCTGTTACTCATTTGTGCAACGCAGAGGCAGGACTAGTGCGTACCAATAATTGCTTCTCAATGGTATTAAATTGTTTCTTTGTTTACTCCTAACCCCCCCCCCAACCTGTTATTTTGAGAATACACTAATGGTCCCTCACAGCTGTACTTCTTTGTAAGGTAGCTACCTACAACTTTAAAGGGAAAATATTTAACAAAATAACCAAGTTTCAGTTTTAACAGCCATCAAATTTTTCCACACACAGTTCTGGTAAGCTCCAGTTTTCAAAAACAAATTTAGTGTTCAGTTTTCTAAATACCTTCATTGTGCTTTACTATTTGCACTTTACGCCGTCTTTTCTAACTTTTTCAACAATTCTGTCAAGAGATTTCAAAGTTTGCCTGAAGCATGAAATTCTATTTATCACCTGTCATTCTACTTTATCAGTTCCAGATATAAATGTTTCCTCAAGGAGTGCTAATAATAATGTACAACAACAGTGCTTTTCTAGAAAAACTTAAAAAAGAAGTTCCATAGGCTTTCTTCTTGAATAGTTACTGTCTATGCAAAGATCACCTGAAAGGACATTCTGATCATATTTGTCTGGGAAGCTGAATATTTTGCCCCGAACATAGTGTGACATTTTGAGAAATACAAAGGAATACCATCTAGCTGAGATGATGTCATTTCCAGAAGGGCATGCTGAAGTCTCTTATCTGACAAGTAGGTGTAACACCTCATACTCACAGTGCTTTCCTTTACTCGCTGATGAGGACAATTAAAAAGGAAGGTGCCAAACAATGAGATACGTGCACTGTCGTACAGTATGGTCAAGTACATTTCAGAAAACTCGAAGGCTGCTGGGTATTGTTCTAGCAGCTGCCAAACACAGTCAAGAAACATCAAGAACAAAGGAGACTGGGGAAAGAAACAGAGAATTATTAGATTGAACATCAGCTTTTCCCAAGACAAACCAATTTCTCTGCTGTTAGTGCTCCATTAGGGTGTTTAGCTATACCTCCGGTACATTCCAAGCCAGGGTAAACTACTTGGAGTATTGGATTTTTTATGATTTTATGGAACTCTAACACCCTGTACTCCTCTTCAGCCACTTTCACAAGCAACTATGTCAACGGGCTTTCTCAGTGTTACCTTTCCACAGCTTTCCCTTCTCTGTCAGTTCTTTCCTGGGCTCTCTTCATAGTCATGTAGCTGCAAAAATGCTTTCTGCCGTCTTGTATGTCCCTCATAATTTCCAAATTAGTGCTTGTATGAGCCTGCCTTACTACTTGGCCTTATTTTCACAATGTATATGCTTCCTTCTTGTTTGAAATGACTGGAGAGCTTATGATTCAGCCATGTTAACTCCTCACTACACTTTCTAGCTCTTTCCACGGTGGCCCATGACCAGCAAAAGTATAATCTAGCATTTATATAAAGCTTTAGGAGCTTTTCCTCTTCCCAGTTTCACTCTTCTGTATGTCCTTTTAAAACAACCAGCCCCCTCCAAACCCCCTTCTATTTCAATTTAAAATGTGGGCTGTGCTAGCATTTGTAATAGTGGGACCTTTTCCCATATAACACTGAAGCAACATAAAAACCCAGCAATACTGGATTGCACCTGGCGTTTCACTGATCCTCACATGGCTACAGCAGATAAAGAAAATACACGTCTCTGCTGCACAAAGACTTGTTTTCTCTGATATTCGTTTCATGAGATTTAAAAGTTTTAAAAAATGTTTCTACTTTAAGATTTCCATATGAATAAATGTTCAGGCTCACATTAAACAGATACTGTTATCACATACAAATACAATTCAGTTTTACCTCTTTATCAGATCTCTTTAAGTGGTTACACCTATCTAAAAACTGATATCCCGCCATGACCCATTCCTTCTGTATTAAGCTTTGAAATCCAACAATTGTTCGAAAATACGGATCCAGCATGACTTGAATGAGAGAAGCAACAAGACAGCTCAGGTCCCGTCCCTCTTCCTCTGTGAATAACATAGAGAAGATATGACATAAATAAGGTATAATGCACATATACAGAATTAGATCTCAAAGAGCAAAAAGTTGCAACTAGGTCTAGTGTTTTTCTTTTAATTTCTTTTATAACATGCTTTTTGCTGCTGTAACTGTTCTCATAGTTTCAAAAGAAAACTAGAAGAAAACAACACCTTTTTTTTTTCACTTAGACTCACAATACAGAAAAAGTTCCTGCAGTACCCAGCACAACAATGCATTCATCAAGAACAAAATACCCACCCAAAAGCATGGTATTTAAACCAAGATGTGCTGAGGAGGAGGGTGTTCATGTTGCTGGAAATTTTTAACATATTTTTCACCCTGAAGCAGTTTTTGGAAGGCCCTTACACAGGGAGTGCGGGATATACCAGCTGAACAGGTATTGTAGAAATGACAGAAATGACAAAATTTCTGATCTTGATATAAGCAAGTTTTGCAGTGGTTTATTTTTTTTTCTGGAATATCTGTTTGCACTTACACAACAGCAGTCACTGTTAGTGAAATACTTCTGTACATAAGACCTCTGAATAAAACCGGTACTGCTTATGCAAGGAGTATTAGCCCAACTAACACAGTACAGAAGTTCGCCCTAGAGTTTTGATTCCATCATACCGTTATCAGAATAAGAACCACAAAAACTCAAAGTGCAATATTCCTCTGATGCTATGGACTACAGTACAGTTCAGATACATAACAAAATTATTTTCCTTTCTAGTTCCTCAATGTCCAAAATATTTAGAAGCCATGGGGTTTATGTATAAAGATCACAGTTGATTTTATCTAAAGGTGCTTATCTACATTATCATAAAAATGCTAAGAATTACAGCGTATTACCTTGCAGGACTACAGAAACATGCTTACACTCCATCATATACACAAGCTCAGCAGAATGCTTAAGAAACAATCTAGACAGGAAAAGAAAGTGATATAACAGTTAATATAACAGGTTCACACTCTAAAAGAAAAAAATATTTGGGATCTATCTATATTTACCTAACTCATATATTAAAACAGAAAATCCATCAACTGATTCACTGCTCATTTACACTGGTGAAAGTTTTTCACATCTCATTAACCATCATTTTATTAATAGTACAAACCTAATATACTCTAACCAGTGCGTAGTTTCCAGTGAGGACAGCCACTTCTCTTCAGTTTCTTCAAAAGGCTCTGCAAAAGGAAAGTAATTACAGTGCAGAACAACTGCAAAGAACTGTTCCTGTTAGCAGAGATCTATTAGAATTTGTTGTATTTCAAGAAAATAACCACCATGGAAGAAGGACAGTCCAGCGTACCATTAACACACAGCTGTTTGAGTTTGATATGTGCAGCCTGGATTTCCTGGATGTTGGGGAGACACTTGTCCAGATCAGATTTGTAAACGTCGCTTCTCAGGGGATGGCTTCGAGTTATGGCATTACAAATCCTAAGTAAGAAAAAGAATGAGCCATTTTATTACTGGAGAGGAGAAAAACAGTCTTTCGAAAAACATGCCACAGTCTTTAACTGCAAACAACTAAAACCACGTAAAAACAGGCACCTTATTTAAAATAAAAAGTTTTCTGGTTTATATTCAGGAGATACATTGCTCCTGCCACACAGTTATTGACTCAAATATTTTTTGTATCTGCTAGTTACAAAACAAAAAAAATGGAAATGCTGTATCATTAAAACAACACGTTTGGGAAATGAAAAGCTGAGGCTGACTTACAGTTAAATACCTCTATTCAATTTTTAATTTTCCACAGTTTTTAGTAAGACTTACCTATGCTAAATAAACAGAACATATATAAAGTTTATAAAGCCAGGAGATCTGACAGGGTTTCAAATAAAACTCAGAGCTCCAGCCTAACACACACAACACGAGTGTTTGTACTACTACAAAAAGTCACCCTACAAATTAAACCAAAGAAAAAAAAATTACTAAGCTAGTAAACTACTTATGCAAGGCTCTAAATGCCTTCATCTTTCATCAAGGACAGTGAATGACCAATATTTCACAGAAATAACATGTACACTGTGGCTCTAGATCTACAGAACTATATTTCCCAATGGCATAAATACGTGATTTTTACTGTGTCTTGCTGAAACAGGTAAGAAAATCTCCACCAACACATGTTGTTATTACAGTAACATCAATAGATTCTGTCATCGGAATGACTGGCCACCTAAAAAATAAACATCCCTTAATATTTGAAAAATCATCCAGTATCCAGAACTGAAGTGGACCTTGAATAGAAATTGTGCCAGAACTATACTCAGAGAACAGCTTCTCAAAAGCTATTGCACTAAACCATTATGAAGCAAGTAGCCTCTCAATTACCAGTTGCTGCTCACGTTACACAGTCACCACTTGTGTTATCCTACACATCTGATTAAAGAATAATGTAACTAATCATTTACCTTTGATCAATTCTTCTTTGTTGCAACACATCTTTAATGTTGGCCATTCTTACAAGGGCACTCCCATTAGGGTGATTCCAGGACCATAACTAATATGAGGAAAAAAAAACCGTAAGAAACAACAAAATAATGCAGGTTAGTCTTATTCCATAGAAATTTTTTTCTTAATGCTACACACAACACTATGTTAATTGGCATACATATGTTTAAGATTAGTATTGTACAATGATCAAGAACAGTAACAGAATAAAGACAGCACTTACTGGCATTCGTCTCCCAATAAAAGAGTAGGAGTACAGCTTAAGGTCTTGATCTGCTAAGGAAGATGGAACCACAAAATATTCTGGAAGGCTTGGGGAAAAAATAAGATACAAAACGTTAGATTTCCCTATGTATTTTACCCACTTTTCTCTTGCTGCAAAGCTGTCTTACCAAGCCTGTTAAACTATAAGGCACCAGCCCCAAATACCACAGTGCGACCCGGTTGTCCTGTATGCCTCAATAATCGTACGTGCCATTGGTACAGCTCAGATGCATTTGTTTAGAATCGTGCATGTTTCAGAGGGAAGTACAAAAGCATGAAAGCAACAGATGACAAAATATGACATTTCCTTTAATGACAACACTTGCAGGATCTTTCAACCAAGAGCCTCTCAGAGGGTGGCACATTGCAGAGGAGAAACACACAGTTAGGTAGGATGAAGGCTTTAGAGGAGACAGGAAGAGACAGTGTAATTGCCTTGTTTTCTTCTACTTGCATTACAAGAGAAACTTACCAAGTAGATATCATATAACCTTCATTGACTGAACAAACTCTCCACTCTGATGCACCTGTCCTTTTGATTTCTCTATCCCAATCAGAGTAAGTTTCAAACAAAGGTGTCTGCTGACCACTGGCACTGCTGATGCTGCCACCACTGCCACCTCCTGGGTCTATTCCATTCACCTTCTTTGCTAGGAAAAGAAAATTCATCAATGCACATTTAAAAAAGAGGTAAAAAAATCAAACTCTTCACCTGCCTAATTACAAGAATGAGCCAACAGCATCACGACTAACGCTACCTATTTTTGTATTACAGCAGATCAGTGATTCAATGACAGCTTGGCAATACATGAAGAAGCAAATGTATTTTTTTTTGCAATTTTGACAGAGAAGCAACATAGCATTGGTATGTTGTGCTGCTTGATAGAAAGCAAGAATATTAACACTCAGGAACGAATGTTATCTTCAGTCATGGGATTTCTTTCTTCAACATGCCAACTTAGCGACGTTTTAAAAACACGAACCCTTCATAGGCTACCCTTTTATTAGGTACATTATGAAGAAAGCAAAATAAAAATTATACAATTTCAACAGCTTTAAATGACTGCTGTATTAACAGCAAATAAAATAGAGATTGAAGACCAGGTTAAAATATATATTCTTTATATATATATATATCTTTATATCCACAGAAAAAGACGGTCTACCGTTTTGTGGCTGGGAAGCAGGAAGATTTCATAGTCTGTTACTAATACAGGTTCTCCTTTGCTGGTCATTCTTTAGGTGCCAAGGAGGCAGCCAGCTGTGTCAAAGGAGACTATGTTTTGTTTCTTGACACTTGAAGCAAATTTTTAGATGAAAGTGAAATAAACTGAGACTCAACACTACTACCTCCCCCACGAAAACTCCTAGCTTTAGCAAGAGCCTGTAAAGATGCAAAGTGCCTGCCCAAATACAGCAGAATACAGCGTTCTGGCTCTACCATCATCTTAGTGACTGTGCAGTTTCTACTTTCTGTATCTATCAATCAACTTCATTCTTGCACTACTACTCATATACTTACGTTTTTCAGAAGAAAACTGGACTAAAGTCAGAATGAAGTAGTTGTTCAAAGATAGTATGCAGAGAAATACGATAATTACAAAAAATACCATATTTTTACTGTTCAATGGCAGGATATATAATTATCAAATATAGCCTGGGAAAAAATTATGTACATATACACCAGAGCAACGTAGGCTCTTTATGTTCCTCAAGAAGCACAAAGACAGTATTTCAACTCTTACTTTACTGGAACTAGCAGGGATAGAGCACTGTAACACACAGGGCTGGAACTGTAAGAGCAAAGCCAGAGATCTACGCTAGAAACACCAGGGTTCACAAGAACAACCAACCCCAACCCAAACTCTCCTCTCCAGCAACTGCAGCGTAGCAGTACAACTATCTTTTGCCATTCTGGTCTGCTGCTCCAGAGGAACAACGTTTTTTACCCACCTTATGTAATTCTTCCACTAGGTTATTTTTCCATACAGCAAATGGTATTTTAAGGACAGAGTAAAGGCAACTTTGTGACAGACTAACACTTTGTTCACACTCCACTTTAACATTTTATTGTAATTTTATCTGCAAATTGGCTTCCTCCCTAGTACTTTATAATGCTAAAGTACACCGACCTTAATCACCCAAGTTTTATCAAGTAAGAAATTGCATGTGTAATTATGCGTGCACACTTATTCTTGTGCATGCACAGGGCAGTCATGTATGCACCTGCATGAGAAACATGCATTTCTGTGCAAATTTGAAGACCTGAGCTCATAATTCCACAACATTCAAATTTTCTGACAGGCAGATCAGTGGTTTCTAATGCCAGCTGCTGAGTAGAAATTTCAGCACCACAGAACTACATCAATGGCACTTTCTCTATTTGGAGGCTTGTTACACTAGAACTGATGGTTTTCAGCTGTGTATTGGCTGGGGAACACTGAGCAGTGACCGCACAGCATTACACTAGAAATCAAGTTCCAAAGGCATCTTTTTCAGGCTTACCTAACTGACAAGGTTCAGTTGGAGATTGGCCTTGAGCAGAGAGGGTGTGCTCCAACTCAGCAGGGGTGGTGGAGGTTTTGAGTGGTAAGAACTGCCTAGTAAGCCTCTAGGAAAGAAGGTATGGAGTCCCAAGTTGCACAAATCCTCCTGCAATACCACCAGAAGAGAAACTTATTCCCAAAAGAAGGGCAGGTGAGCAAGCCTGCCTGATGGGAGATTAGCTTGGTACCTAGAGTACCGATATAGACACACAATAGGAGGATCGAAGCGTGAATTGAGAAATATGAGTATTCATGCTGACATAGGTAGCCTTGTCTTGTTTCAGACAGGGAAGACATTTCTTTCGGTTTTGGTTGTTAATGTCTATCACAATGAATGACTTATAACCAAAAGAGGTTGGGTGCAGGACAAGCCAATTTTATTACCCCTGAAGAAAGCCTCAAATGCTTTTTGCCACTGCTTCTAGACAGAAATCTTACTGAAATTACATATTATGAAATAGGAAAAAAAATACCAAAATACTTTCACACTTACCTGGATTATGATATATTTCCCCAACATACTCAAATGCAAAGAGAAGCTGAAGATCTGTTGGCTGAGAATAATGAGCTATTGCAAGGCACACCTAGGAAAAAAACATTTTTACTGTTATTGATAGACATAGAATTTATTGCCCTTAGTTATGACAGTGTGAAATACGCAGAGTAAAAGTTAAAAATCAGTCTTCTGATGTTTTACTTCTGTATTTATTTGAGAGGAGTGAATCATATTGTTAAATGTACTCATATGTGCTGAGAGACCATTACTGTAATCATACTAGCTGAGTTCATGACCATCTATCAAGAGTGATTGACTGATAAGCGTGGACTAAGTTTTTGCAAGAAAGTTCAGAATGCAGCAGGCATCCCTAAACGTGATTCTCTGTTATCAACAGAGACAAGCAAGGGCTTGGAGCTACTGTGCTGTGCCTGCCCACCTGCACATAGAAGGAAGGAGGAGAGCAGAAAAAGAGAAGAGCACAACACACAGGTGGTGAGCACAGTACAGCAAAGTCTCATTTGTAATCGGTCTTTTGATAAATACTTTTTTTTAATAAAGAGTACTTATCAATATAGCATAAGAACCTAAGAATGGCCATACTGAGTCAGTTCAAAAGGTCCAACCTAGCACTCTGTTCCTGCCAGCAGCCAGCAATACATGCTTAGGGAAGAGGGTAAAAACAGAGAAAACACATAATGAAATTTTACCAGGATATTTTTCAACACTTCACAGTTCAGGCATTTCCTGAAATAAAACCTGGTATCAGTATTCAATAGCATTTAACAGATATTTCTTCTACGAAGTTGTCAGCTGGGCCAAGAGGTTTTTGAAGTGCGACTTCCCTTTACAAAAGCCCTGTTGGTTCTTCCCTAAAGTATCATATTTAACCAAAAGTTTGAATGTAATTAAATTTTTATCTTTTCTACTAATTCACCACATATAAGCATCAGGCTTACCAGTCTGTGCTACCCAAAACTCAACCTTCAAAAATTTCTGCTCCTGGAAGGCAAAACAAGAGGTTGCTCTTTGAGGACTTCCAGGACCCACACCAATCCTGCATCTCATTAAGTTGTATTCCAAAATTATGAAGGACATTGATGAATACAAATGAAAAGCAAATTGTTTGGTAATAAAGAACAGCTTTTCCCCCATGTTACTTGGAAATAAGTAATTCACGGTGGGAGATGTTTTTCTTCATTATAGTCACTTGTAGTTTGTCAGCTGAATGGCAGGCCAAAGATTTTCCATCAATCTCCAATGTCAATAAAAAGTGAGTTTTTAGGGTAGGCCCTTTTGCCAAGTGTGGGGGATCTACAGGTAATTAAACATGTCAGTAATCACCCCCTTCCCAGTCCCCTGCTGATCTTGAGAACTGAAACATCAGCCAAACTTTCTGAGGGTAGTAAGATGTCAGCTTCGTTAAATTTTGGCCTAGCCCTTATAGGTTCTGTCCCAGATGACTGGACTTCATTCACAATATAAACTGACCCATAACTTCTAGATGCCTGCAGGTCTACAGCAAGCTCCAACACAGTCTCTGACAATCTGATGGTTTCATCAGATTTAACCAGGCTGAGTCACAAGCCCTACCCTGGGAAGAGAAATTCAGCAGAGATTTAAAATGAGCGATATGCATCCTCAGAACTGCAGAGATTAACTTGGGGCACAAGGAAGCCTTGCCTAAGTCTTCACATTCTTTGCAACAGTCTGTGGACCAGCATCACATATGCAACTAGTTTTTTACCTGTATAAATTGTTCATTTTGGTAGAAAATTAAGAGTGCAGAACGTGGTTTAAGATTAGATACTAGACTACAAATACAGTCAAGCTTTGCTAGCCTTTGGCTCTTTAAATTTGGATATTCACTAATACAGATGAAAGATTTGACCAAAAAACCAAATACCTAGAAGAATCAAACTCAGGAAGAAAAAATAACTTCCAAGTAAAGATTGGCACTGTTATGCTCCAGATTTCAGGACTATGATTTGGAGTCTTCAGCTTTGCCTTCTTCCCTCCATTTTACTAAAATGTACCTGCATTATCTCTAAAGAAAATATTTAATGAAAAGGAGTTTATCACATACAAAACTCTATTCTACATGTTCAGATACAGAAATTCCATGTGGCAAAGTTTTTAATTAGGGCCAAAGACATAGTAGAAGTTCACATTATTACCACCTAAATTTTTTCCTTTCTGTTTTCTTCCTTCCCTTCAATTCTCCATGTCATTTTATATTTGGCAGCATGTTGACAGAATTTATTCACTGCTCTGCAGTTTTGGATATTATTTTTGAAAAACATTCTGTGCATCCAACAAATTGTTTTCTATTAGTGAAGGAAAAGTTTTATTATCAGAGACATAAAAGAAAGATTTGTGTGACACACAACTGAAGAAATACCATCACTGGCAGCGTTGTGCCACCAGAAAAAAGTTGAGAACTCACCTACGCTAAGTTCTACATGGAGAAAGTTATTGTACTCTTACTAGCTTGTATTCAACATATATGGCGTTATGGAACCTTTTCCGTATTTTTTATTTACTTTGGCTTTTGATGAGGACATTCCTCACTACTTATAAAAGCAGTAATGACTGTAGGGTAACTTGAGTTGAAAATGGTTTTTCACAAACACTCCCCAACAAAAAAATTCCTATCAAGTCTTAGAACAACAGTTGCTTTAACTTTTCTCCCCATACTCCACGCACATTTTATTAAATCTTGTGATTTCTGCGTACAAAGCAGAGGTGAAGTAGCCAGCTATTCTGTAATACCAGGCCTCTTCTAACAGGCTACTTCTGCCTATCAGTCACAACGAAGCAAAGTGGACATCTGTGCACATACACATTTTGACTTGATTTTTCTATGTAACTTTTCACTACAGTAATTGATATGAACAGAGCTACTCCTCATCTTCATTTATGGGCGTGAAGGATGAAAGCCTTTTAACAATGCTGATCTACTCTCAAGGCTTGAGGAGGCAAGGCATTAAAAATTCCATTGTGCTGCCAAATAACACAAGAGAAATATAGCAAAACCTCTTTTCAAAAGCAGCAGCTGAAATTTCTGTCATTTACTTGCCACTTTTGAGAAAGAGTATGTGCGTGCTGTGGTAAGAGGGGTAAAATTGTGGGGGGAATATGGTAAGGACTACAGATCTGGTTCTCCAAACATATGAGACCATAGCTGTGCTTTTGAACCCAAGCAGCTGAGAAAGGCCCCCAGGTGTTCCACAGTATAGATATAACTCGCAGTACCAGCTACTGCATGGGTGAAACAGTCCACCTGTAGATTATAATACAGGTTCAGGACCTCTATTTCTGTTATTAAAAAAAAAATCTAAAAAAAAAAATAAAAAAAAAATCGGTATTTATCCTGCTACTGTCTTAATTTTTACATTTTAGACAAATTCCACTCAAATATACACTAAATCAGTATTAAACACATACTCATTTTCAGTTTATTCCTCAGTAGATCCATATAGTAGTTTTATTGTGCGAAGGTTTCAAAAGACAAGCACATTCCACAGATCTCAGCAGATTATCACCATAAGTAGAAAGCTCTTAAATTGGAAGACAAACATGTTTTACAGGAAATGTTCTCATATCAAACTGAAAAATGTTTGGTATTCTTGCCAATTCATAATTGTGTAAAGCTGAAGATATTTAAGCTCAGTCGAGTAACAAGAGAATAGGCTGCTTGTTGGAAAGTTCATTTATTAAAAGCAGTAAACAGAATGGCTGTAATTATTTCACAGCGCAAAGGCCATTCCCCTTTGTCGGTGTCCTCTGTTCAACCCCTATCTGAGAAAAATAAATGATACTTTCAGGGCAAGCCCTTTTCTTCAATACGAATTTTACTGAGGATAAGAGTTTCAAAATGTTGCTAATGCTCTTGGAAAAGGTAGTTTTGAACGGTCATATTTAAGACATGCTAAGTTAGCATAGCCTTGCATTTCACCTCCTTCCCTAAGCCAGGCTACCTGTCTTATGAAATCACTTGGAAGGATTTCATTTTTCCCTTGCTACTGCAATTCCTATTCTGAGCAGACACCTGTAGTAGTAAGTCATGCAACCAGGACTAGATCAAGTCCCACAGACAGAATTTGTTAATCTTCCCAGGCAGGAAGTTTTCTTGGGAAAAATAAACTTTCAGGTAACGAGACCTTCAGCCCTAACCATCGTGCATGTTCTCCTAGCTGCCAAGCTATGAATTGTCTAATTGAAAACTGCTTTTTTTTCCCCTTCTATAAGAATTCCAATACCAGCTCTACATAATACTGGATTCGGTTTGAGTACAAGTAATCTACACTGGAGGAAACAGTACAAGGATTTCAGAAGCTGAAGTAACTTTTTACATATGAAAATCCTTGCTTGTACAAGAATGTGTTTGAATTCTAAGTAGAGGTTTCCTAAGCCTTAAGAGAAATATTAAAATACACTGCTATTCTTAAAAATACCTTTAGATAAGTTTACTCCTGAAAAAAATTTTCTTCACCCCCTCCAATCCTACTTCAAAGACCATAAAGATAATAGTATCTTCTTGTGCATTCCCAGTGTCTTGAGATACTATCAATTTTGTGATCTGTACAAACATCTAGAACAAGGTAATACAGAAGTTTGGGGTGGGGAAAAGAAAACCCAAACCATCAGAAAGGGTCAGGATCATTTGTCCAAAACTCTGAGTTTCATATTATTCTTCATAACAATTAGGAAAAAATTGTTCCACTCCATTCCAAGGGTTCTGATGTGTGAGAAGGCTAAGTCTTGATTGCACAGGAAACAAGACCTAAGATAAATAATTTTCCTTCTGTTTTGATTAAGCATGCGTTTCTGAAACTGCTCTCATACTCATTTTAAAAAAGCTTCCTGAAGGAAAAGAACTGAGGGAGATCCAGAAGAGAAAGGGACTGAGAAAATGGAGATATATTTAGGAAACAGGAGATTACAGGGTGTGTGCCTTTCTGATGCACTGCCAAGATTCATATGCCCGGTGAGGCAACACGCTATCTGTCATCTAACAGTCGTAAGATCTAAAGCCTCACCTTTTCATATATTTTAATTTCTTAGTCTAATGTCAAGTATTGTAGTGGTTAGAAATTAGCAGGAGTTTTCAGTTTGACAGTTTGTTGTGATTTTTGGAACAAAATAATTCCTTTTCCTTTAAGGAATGTGAAATGCTGCTTCTTTCACACTGCCGAACTTCAGACTTCCCCAACTTGCTTACCCTTGCTTCCCCATCCTCTACTTCCTCCCACACCCATCTGGCTTTCCTTCCTTTGGAGACTCTATAGCTTTATTTCAGAGACAAAACAGAATTAAACTGCTGAATAGTGAGGAGTGCGAGTTTCCATTCCCTCTATTATTCCTTAACTCTCATCTCCCAAATACCCATTAATAAAAACGTGGAAGAAAATGTTTAGTTGGCTGATTAATGTTGTGACAGTATTTTATTAGCAAGTATTGACTGCAACTAATCTTGAAGGTATTTTTCTAATAGAACTGATTCTTAAGCTTCTTCATAATAATTTACCCCAAAATAAACTAAGTCACTTCAGAATTCAATGTGTTCTTTCAACTTTTTTCTGCTTAAAGCTAGAGAAGAATACCTCTCAAAGTTCTACCCATGCGTCATGTCTATATGTAATCAAGTCGGTCTGAATGTCCACATCTGAAGCCTGACTGCTTTCAAACTGGGATCCTTCGTTTCACACTCACCACCAAAGAGGGACTCTGAATGTTCTGTATTCTAACAAGGCAGCCTAATTAGTAAGGGTTATTCTCTCTTATGCCTTGTTCAGCAAATATAGACACTTCCTTAGGAACTGATTACATTCTCTTTGCCAACACCAATTTATGTAACTGAATGCTGTTGAGTATTCCCATTACATTCAAGGAACTATGCATGAAACAAACTACTTAACTGTATAACATCAGTATCTGTTCTCCTTGTAGCTATCCCATATATTTAAAGCTCATTTTTAAATAGTAATTATCAAGCGTATTGTTTTTATTTCTTCAGCTATTGCTCTAAGCAGAACATTTGCTAGCATCTGGCAACAAGTTAGAGACATTTACACTCCCATAGTTTGAAGTGTATGTTTTAGTAAGTAGATATTTCATTTTGACCTACCAGTGCTTTCTTCATAGGATGATACTCCTCTGTATTACCAGGATGACATTTAGTTAGAAATTCTCCCTGCTCTGATTTGTATAGCTGACTGTATTTATGTAGAGTTTGCTAAAGGAAGCTATTTATTATTTATAAAGCACTAACATGCAGGTCTCTTGCTTTACAGAACAGAGATTGTAATGCTAACTGTAACATCCCCTTCCCTTCCGCTTATTTTAAAATAACAAGTGAAAAAAAAACTTATTAGAAAAAACTTCAGTCATAAACACTTCAGACATGATTTTAATTACAGCCTGCACAATTCACTGATTCCAACAGAAATTCTGAGTTCTGCAGTTTCTCAACACTAAGCACCCTAGAAAACCTTCATTAAACATATAAGCACAATTTATCCAGTTCATTTTTCACTCCTGAGGTCTTCATATCTAGCTCTAAAATGAACATAAGCAAATTTGTGAAGAGAAAACATATAGCTGACAGTTATTTGATTTTTCTCAGAGATGACTAGAGATTAGTCCCCTAGGTCAAAAGGAAAGAGGAGAAGCTGGAGAGGGTCCAGTGGTGGGCCACCAAGATGACTATGGTCCTGAAGTACATCTTCTGAAGAAACAGGGCTCATTTAGCTGTGCAATAATGAGACTGCAGGAAACCACTACCAGGAAGGTAATTACAGACTCACTCTTGCCATGTGGCATAATGGGCAGCAACCAGAAACTCATCTTGGGACATTCAAGCTGGGCATCAGGAAAAACGTGCAGTACTGGAACAAGTTACCCACAGAAGGAGAAGGCTCTCCATCCTTGGTGGTTTTCAAGATACAACTGGACAAATCCACAGCTAACCTGATGTAACCCTGGCAACTCTGAAGAGAAAGGTGGACCAGGTGATCGCCACAGGCCCCTCCCATTCAGCACCTCCGCTCCACAGTCAGTTCTCTACAATGTTTTCTCAGTCAAAAGACAATGCTAGCACACTCAGACGAAGAGAAGAGCAGGAATTCCCTCTCATCAGAACTCAGTTATACTTTAAGTCTTGGTCCTCCCTACAAAAATTATGCACACACAATTATTTCCAAGTAGACAGCTACCAAAGTTTTCATGCACAAATAGGTGGATTTAAATATCTATTAAAGAGGCTCTTCAGAACTATAAGGAGGCCTGACCACCTTCCTTTGTCTTTAAACATCAGGACAACCTTGAAGGGCAGGAACAGAAAACAGATAAAATCTTTCAAGAGTGCAACACTAGCATTCCATTTAAATGCCAGAAAGAAAGAACAAAATAACTTCACACAATATGCTGTGTAAGACCATTCTAGTTGTGTTCACCAGCACCCCAAAATAACATAAGCAAAATCCTGATAGAAGAAATTTGATCTAAGGAGCTCATGGTTTTAGACACTTGTATTTTAACGCTAGCAGAATGATGTTGTTATGAAAACATTACATTAGGCTGACAGAACCTTATCTCCCTTCAGTAAAGGCATGCTTCTGTGATACACCCACACAAAGTTGCAATAACCTACTTGATGCATCAAAACTGCAAATAGCAGCCACCTAGCTGATCTTAACAATCCCTGCAAGTTTTCTTCCACTCCTCTAGTGAGCCCATTCAAATATTTGAAAATGCCAACTGTTACTCTTTTGGTCACCACCAGCACGATCTTTATAACCACACAGACTCAGATCCTTCTGGATCTCTAGAGCTAGCTGTTCTTCCTAGCAAAAGAAATCACGTTAGACCATGTAATTATAAATGAACAAAGCAAGCGCCTTCATAAAAAGGTTTTACTTTTTGCTCTTGCATAAGTAAATGCAGCACAAAAAGTGTTAATGAGATGCTGAGTTTATGCTCTCTCCCTCCCTCCTCCAGGCTAATCACTCTTCTTAGCTGTGACAGCCAATTAGAAACAGTTGCCATAAAGATATTGCAGTAGACAGGCTGCTCTAGGGAGATTTCAGAGAAGCTGTGAAAGCGGAATTGAGTGCTGGAAGATTGCCAAACATGAAAGGTTACAAAGAGCAAAGGCAGCAGGCAGGGAGGAACCCAGAAAAATCGCAAGGAAAGAACAGTCTGCTTCATTACTGGGCTTCTGCCCATGGATCTTGCCCCCATGGGAGGGTAAGAGGTGAAGAAGTGATGAACTGGTTCAGCAGTTACTCAGTTGTTAACTGCAAACAGACTTATGTCTGGGCAGATGGTTCTTAGGATTTACAGGGTTAAGCTCAAACTTTATCCTACTGAGAAGGGGAATTCTTAAGCTTTGTGAGCAAACTGGGTCATTCCTTACAAAATGACTGCTGTGCCATGCCTGGCCACAAAGTGGTGCCACAGAGGTCAGAGGAGCTGGAACTCAACCTATGGCATCCACCCAGAACAAGGAAGCTGGTGAGCTAATGTAGTAATGCAGACTAACCATCTCCTATTAGCAAAAACTTATCCAGACCTTACCAGGTTAAATAACATTAAATGATTTTGTTGAGACTTACAACAACAAGTGCTAAAATTGGGGAAGGAATGAAATTTCTAGGAATGTACAGACAGAAGTAATTCCTCTTGTCAAGAGGTATGCAAGTCTTTTCTAAGAAAGTGTTTGGAAAGAGCACATAGTTTTATGCAGATTGGACAAACTGGTCATTCCAAGAGCTTGTTGGAGACCTTTCTGTGTGAAGCAAAGAAGTGTGTGTATATAAAAAGATAGTACAATTTATCTCTGGGTAAATTCCAAAAAATGTATCAAAGTTTCAAACATTTTCTATAAAAATGTAAACATCTGTTGTACAGCTGCAATGCAGTATTCCAATTCCAGTCGTTAAAAAAGATTTGTTTAATAAATTAGTAATTTTTAAAAGCACAACAGATACGACAATACAGGTTTATCTTATATGAAAAGAAACAGTTAATACATCATGTTAAATTTTTTGCCTAATCATTTTGACTCAAACCCCAGATATTCTCCTGTAACAGAATGTGATTAATTTGCAATTTTCTCTATCAAAACATAAACCAAACTGTTCTTATTAGCACAGCTGTTACTACATGTAATGACTACAAGGCAAGATTTCATAAGACGACATAGTACCTTTTTTGCACTTTCAGGACCCGCTTCATCAAAACGAAATCTGACAATACGGAAGTCTTTGCAATAAATTATTAATTCAGTTGGATTAAATTTAAGCTTTTGGTTGGGACCAAGGACCTTCTGCTTCCTCTTGGTGTCATTCACTGTAAAGAAAAAACAAAGTTACAGGACTGTGTTTTGCAAGTATACAAGACTGGCTCAAACAGATACAGTAATGCTGCTCCCAGCAGTTTATCATCTAACACTGTATTTCAACTGTTCAACTGAGGTAGAAAATCTACAGGTCCTCCTATTGATCAATCTCCTTTTAAACAAGTGGCTGAATTGGTGTTTCCTGTGTGCCCAGATTATTTTTGTCCATTAATAACTTCACAAACAAGGAATTAACATGCAGTATTCCCAAGAGCAATTTTTGCTCCCAGTTTATTGTGTATGCTGCAATGCCCTTCTGATGCACAGTAATTGGCATATATGCTGATTTTTTTTTTTTTTTTAATTTGGATGTATAAAAAAAGTGCTGGAGTTAAGACTAAGATTAACTCCTTATTTCTTACATAAAACTCAAGAATGTAAGTATAGTATATTTCCAGCTGGTCTAGACCTGCACAGACAGGCTGTGTCTCTTGGCTTATGTATCTCCTTTTCAAGCAGAGAAAGTTAAGTTGTAAAAAGTAAGCATCACAGAAGCCACAGAGATTTTATTTGTGGTAACTGGGAAAACTGGGACACATAGCTGTTCAGTGACTAACTGACATAGCTGCCTGGTTGCAGGTACCTTCTAGGTTAAACTTAAGTACTTCTAGGGAACTCAAGACAAGCGTTTTAGGACACCTCCAGCTATTCACCTTCAATATAACAACCGTCAAGCAACCTCTGCTGCAGCGTTGGTGAAATCTCCCCTTAATTCCTGCTAGTAAAAAAGCTTATGCTTCACTAAATTTAGGGTAAACCCACATAACAGAAGAACAAAGAATAATCTCAAGTGTGTGGAAGGAAATACTGCCCCCTCCTAAAGGGCTTCAAACCTCAATGGAAAAGCTAAACAGAAAGCGTTCCTACAGAACTTCTACCATTCTTCTAATGAAACTGCAAATGTTTGTGCTATTTGACAGTTTGGGGAAAAAAGCACAAAAGAGTCATCTAGAATCTGTCAACCCTCAAGTTTCAAAATAAAAACTATCTGTAGTCCTCTACCATTTAGGAACAACACATCTCATGTGAGAGAGAACATAATTAATAGAACAATTATTTGAGGCTGACTGGCTTCCCCTCCCTATTTAGCAGAATTATATGAGCATTTGCATGAGATGTTAAATAAGAAGATTGCAACACCCCATTTATAAACATCTCCATTCAAAGCTGTCATTAATAGATTTTGCAATACTGCTACTGTTCTGTCACTTGTGCCTGGTGTTTTTCGACAAGGGGCAACAAATATGGGCCAGGGCAAGACCATAACACAGGTCAATAGCACCTCTTCATTTAAAAAGGCACATTTCTTCATAATGTTCTTCCTCAGATATACATTAATCTTTTCACAGTGATTACAAACAGCTTCCAGAGTGGAAATGGATTACTGGATAACTTTGGACACTGACAACTTTTAAGTAATGATTTAAATTACTTTTATTTTAAAAACCCAGTATTTAACAGCCCATGCTGTAATCAGGATTTGAAAAATTATCAGTTATATGAAATTCTTCAATTACAAGATGAAAAACATTCTTCTTAACAAACAAGTTAGCCTAAAGTATCCACCAAATCAAAAACTGGGTCTTCAAAATAAGTGTTTTAGAAGTTATTTCTTCAGATTAAGGTATCTTATTGTCATTTGCAGATTTCCGAGTTACCTACTAACTTGCTAAGAATTAGACAAGATTAAAAACCAGAGTGCTTGTGTTGTCAAATATCCCAGCTATGTGTAAATTGTGTAAGTGATGTGCTTTTTCCAATCTAGTGTATTTAAATGGAAGAGAAAAAGATGTTCCAATATAAAAAAAGGTTGTAACAAAATTTTGTACTGCTGTAACAGGTGTCTATCCTAGAACACCTGCTGATTCAGTATTTAGTTAAGTTTAAAACCAATATAAAGATTCAACTAAATAATCTCCTGCATGGCACCTCAAGTTTTACTCAGCTTTTAAGGCTGTTATCCTAAATTTGAATAAACCAAATTCTTCAACTCGGGGAATATTAACGACATAAAACCTTAAGCATCAACAATTCTGTGCAACCTAACAGGCAGTTAACAGTTTTGAACAGAATAAGTTTAAAGCCTGTCATTGCACTTAATTATTTTTGACATACCTGTGACAATCTGCTCAATGCATGTTAGTGGGACATCATGTTCACCAAGGAGGAGGTTTTTATAATGGAATTTCTGAAACACACGAACTCACAGCCATTAATTGCAGTTCTGCAGTTTGCAACCAGATATACAGCACAACTTTGAAGAAACTATGATAAAAATCAGGCGCACCTAGACTTTTTTGACAGGTACCACCCTTGTCTATCCACAGGCAATCAGAGGCTGTGGAAACAGCTTCTCTTGTGCTGGTGAATGCACACCGAGCAGTTTAGAAACCCCAATGAAGTATGCAAAATAACTCCACTACTTGCACTGAATTTACTAGCCTCAAAAATTGCTGGTAGAAACTCAATACAATCTGAAGTGTAACACACACATATGATATAAAAAATCTCCAACTATTACTGTAACCACAGAAAGAAAAAAATATTGATTTAGCTTTCAGAACTAAGTTCTGACAACTACTTCATGTCAAAAATTAATTATTTGAAGTAGCTTTGGTCAAACTTACTAACCACTACTGAATAAACATCTATCCACTTTCAGAGCTTTACACATGCCTAGTTAATGGAGCATTTCTTTTAAAAGCCAAAACTGAAAGTGAAAACACTACTGAAAAAAACATACAGCTCACAACTTGGATTTCCAAACAGTACTGTATGCTGTGCTGTTCAAAAACTGATCAAGGTTTTGAATGTCCCATGTTCTGCTTTGACAAAGGCTTGGTTTCTTTCACCCCTTTTCTTGTTGCTTCATCTACAATGAAAACTCACTTCATGGTTACTTTGTCCTCCATCAGTAATGCCAATAAAACTTGGATACATTAAAGGCTTTGCTGATCTGATGCTTGTCTAGTCAAAGGAACACATGCAATTATCTTCCTCGGGGAGGAAAACATTTTTATACAATTCCTGCTTTGCCTTTGCAAAACCACTTCCTAATGAAGCCTCCATAAACAGAGGTAAGCAGAGCTGGCTGTACTTCCATACCAAACTTTCTCTGTTCTGACATTCTCAGTGAAGGGATGGAATAGCAACACCATTCAGAATAGGACAGTGGAACTAATTTAACGCTAATAATTTAGCATGCTTTATTTTAGAAGGGATTATATTCATATCAGATATGAGACAGATCCACTGTATTCTAATTAAACCCATTTGTTGTCATGATGTAGCAATGTGAGTAATAACAAACCTGTAGTGGCATTGGGTCATCCGTAATAAAGGAAATCTTGAAGTTAGTACAAACCAACTTGCCCCACAGGTCATATTGACTTGTATCTGTTGCGATGCATTTTCTTACAAAATTTACTTCATTTACCACAATTTCACCTAAAACAGAAAAAGATAAGGGGAAAAAGAAAAGCCTATATAATCTTGTAGGCACAACAATTCTAAGTCTGTAGTACCTAGAAACCCCTAACTCTTTACCTGTTTCAAGTTATACACCTCTTCTGGGTAAACCTGAGTTTAACTACCACCACCCCAGGGAACAAAAAGAAAACTACTGTCCCAAGACAGACAGTATTGTGCAGTAGTTAAAAGCAAAAAACCACACACCACTTTCCTTATACCCAGAGATCAAAATCTGCAATTCTTCACTACTAAAAATTCATTGCCTTGGACAACACTGTCCTTTAAACAAAGGCACATTCATGCATTTCAGATAGTATTTGTTTTATAAAAAATGAAATTAGCTGGCTATTGTTAAGTACTTTGGATAGCTTTATAAACACATCATGAATTCAGAATAATCAGTCCACATCTCGTTTTGCATTTATAAACAGATTATCAGGTGATTTCACAAAAGAAAACCCAGACCACAAACACATTAAACACTCCTTACTATTTCAAAGTTTCTACTGCGACCACCTAATGGAGATCGACCATTTCCTTTTGAAAAACAGAAGATCCAAATGACGAAGAAAAAAATTATCCTAATTCATCTGGGATATGCTATGAAATAAAAGAGTATACAGGCAAATGAGACTTAGGACCATTCAAAAAGAAAAAGTAAATTGCTACACGTTACCTTTTTAGATCCAATTGAGTAGCAATTTCATCCTTACTTCAGGAAATGAACTTGGTCATTTATTTCATTCCTATATAGGGCTTTCACTTCTGTCATCAGATCAACCACCTCCTGCTGCTGCTGTCTACCATAAATAGCGTGGGAGTGGAAGTGTGTTCAAGAAAAGTGAAATTTTATACTAGCTGTAGGTTTTTGTTTAAAAAAGGCTAAGGATGAAAGATTGCTAAAGCCCAATTTGCTCATAATAGGTTGGGCATATTTAGTCCCAGTTGCCTGAAATGTCAGCTCAGAGTTGTCCTATGCTTTGCAAGAAAACAGTCAGTTCTTCAGGTGACTATAATGACAGCAATCAGTTATATGTATGCCCAGTGAGTATGCATATACCATACATTCAAAGAGCTGTCTTCAGCATTCCAAACACTTGAGCAGAAATGCACCTTTTGCTAGTCTTGAGAGACAGTCTCTGCACATGCTCCTCGTCCTAAGCTACTTAGCTAAGCTGCCCTACTAGCTCGCTTGCCCCTAATATGATTAGGCATCAGCATGGAAGCAACTGAGAGCAGCAGCAGAGTCCTTGCTTTTAGTTCAGTTGTGCTAAACACCTACAAAAATTTCTTGGACTAACACTATAGCCTTGAGCTGGCAGAATCATGTTGAGTACTCTGGGACTGTTTGAAGATGTAAGGGGACAAGTTTCATTCACCTGTGGTTACATTATACATGCATCATATATGCCAGAAGTGGCAAGAGTTGTGAAAATGCTTTATAGAGAGATGTGCTGGAGCTTTAAAGTCTTTTCTCAGACATTACCAAGCTGTGGTTAAATAAGTTTTGAATATGGGGGGGGAAAATGTGATTCTGACAGATTTAGTACAAATAGTTAAAGTTCAGCCAAGTCCACAGCTATTGAATAATTGGGGTACATGAGAATGACAAACCCTACTTCTGTTAAACACTGTAATGAAACTGTTTCAATACTTTTAGCAGAGTCTGGCCTGAAACTTCTTAATGCCCAGCATTTTTTTCTAATAAGCTGTTTACTTAAATAACTGCAAAAGCCCAAACTGTGTATTAAAGAAATTCCTTCTCACAGTTGGTGTTAATCTTCAACTATTCAATGTTGAGTTCTCAGTCACACTCTGCCCGTGAATCTTCCCCTCTTCATGAAGTCAGTTGTTCTAAACCTAAATAGTTTTTATTCTTCCCTCTCTCGGTACCTCCAGTGTATTACTGCATTTCTAATAATAAGATACGAAGAGCCAAATACACCATGAAATGAAGTGCAACTTCCATAGGGGTTTTTTTCCCCCATATAGCATTCTCTTATCTGTTATAAAGTGTAATTTTTTAGTATTGCACAGGCGACACTTGCTAAAAGCACAAATTACTATTACCAAACTATTTCAGTACTTCATATCTTTGATGCTACAAAACAGTAGATAAATAAGAGATCCGTGCAAACTTCCTCAATTTCAATCTACTAGAGCTTAAAACATGCCTGCTACATCATTCTCTTCACCAAAGCCAGTCCTTTTTACTTCCCTCCTCCATTTCTCATAATTGTGTGGCTACACTACAACATGTTAATACTAGTCCTATTCTAGTGCAACTTCATTTATTTTCATTTCTTTCAACACAAATACATTCTGGATTTTTTGGCCTAGCTTCTCCTTTGCACTCAAGTTTACAACTCTAAAACAGAATTGTCAGTTTTGAACCTGAGAATTATAATGCGGCCAGAGAGAGAGTGTATGCATACAGATTTCAATCAAAGGGTTTAAAGATTTACAATGAAGCATGAGAAAGTTTGCAATGCAAATTTAATAGATGCAGTTTTGAAAAGCCTCTAGAAACTGAACCTTTTTTTTTTTTTTTAAACACCGGTTTAGAATTTTATATTGACCCGGCTTTTATCCCTCATTTGGACGTCTGTAATTAGCAATACAAAATATGCAAACCTTCCAAACTTAACTCAAATTTAGGAAAGTAGATAACCAACGCAAATAGTACGTGTTGGTCCTGCACAATGAACCCTTCTTGTATTTGTAGTTGAGTAGGTGATTTTTCTATACAAGTGTCAACAACAGAGCTATTCAGAGATATTACACTGCACATTTTTACAATGTAGCTGCTGCTTTTTTCCAGTAAACAGTCACAAGCTGTTCCAGACACGGAACAGCAGTCAACACTTCCATGTGACTCGAACAGTCAAAGAATGATCTCAGGAGACAAGAGCAGTTTGTTAAAACTCTGACAGGAAACCAGAAGAAAAATTACAGGTTGCCACCCTTACATATAAAGCCTAATCATGTTTAATAAAAATATTTCTACATTTAATACATGAATCACAAAAATAACACAAGAGACTGAAGGATCTCTCTAGCTAACACAATTTCCATTTAACACACAGCCTCAGAAACTATTAAACTTCAGAAAAATTCTGCTAAATATATCAAAAGCATGTGCAACTTGACTATTTCATATTTTGGATGTTAAGAGAATTCATGGTATTTACCTAATTCACCATAATGCATAACCCACTACAGCCCAAATAAAATTCAGAAAGGACAACGCACACACATGGGAAGTGGAGACAACAGAGGCATGACTAAAAATGCTGAATTCAGTGGTCAGCAGAACTGTGACCAGAGCGATCAATAGGTACCACAACTGGTGTGCAACAGCACCAATTTTGTCTCCGCAGCCCACAGGCATACTAAGTGAGCCTGGTCTAGGCTTCAGAGTAATTTATTTATGCAAAATTTGAAAATGCAATCCCTAATCAGTAACATCCTAAAATAAAGAACGTTCTGCACCATTTTGCCTACTACCGAACCAATATTTTTATCATTTTTGGTGCCTGAGCAGTTTACAAGGTGACATTTATACTGTATTGTATATATATATACACATATATATGTGTGTGTGTATATACACACACCTCTCTCAATACATACACAGAGACAGAGCATGCATGCACATATGTATATGTTAATATGCTAACATACAGTATTTCTAGCACATTAAGAACCTGATACTTGCTAGAGGCAATGAATGCTAGAGGCTAGCTGGAATCAGACTCCATAAATGAATAATGCAAAGTCTTACAGGCTCAAAAAGTTTGCAGATATTGCTAAGGGAACTTTTTCAATACTGTACTAGAAGCGTAAGAATAGATTTATTAGTATAAACTTTCTTTAATGAGCATTGAAGTTCTAAATCAAAATCTGAATGTTAGTGCATGTTCAAGGTCCAATAGACCTAAGGACAATAGGGAGTATTAAGTACTTTATGCAGCTGTGTAATTCCTACCAAAATTCATAAAAACCTAGCATCTGAATACACTTCGGGAACTAAACCCATGTTCCTCATTTATAATGCTGATAGTGATTATATCCAATTAAGACAATAGAAAAACAGCTTGGTTTTGTGAAACAGTCTAAAAAGTTCACAATAGAAAAACTAAAGTTAACTGAAGTAGCCATTTAACCCTTAAAAATTCACATCAATGAGTCCACTTGTATTTAGAAAGATCTAAGTCGAAAACTGCTCCAAAATTACTGGCAAATAATTAACTTCTGTAAATTTCTGAATGAGAATTTCCAATAGAAACTTCATTAATAACTAACTGAAATCTAGAACATCTTCACCCATTTAGCTGCCTTTTCTTAGCTGTTCTCTTGTAGAGAGAATACCAAAATTGTATGAGTTTATTAGTATGCACCAAGCGTTTAGATGTAAATGTCTCTAATCCACTTCTAAATGAATCTTCTGTTCCGTGTGCTCAGCCACTTCCAAACTTCAGAAAAGAAGTATTTGTAAGCTCATGAAATAATTGTCTTTTATCTCTTTTCTGATTTTCATAAGCTCTTACAATGCATTTAGGGTATGTGAAGACAAAAAAAGCTGCACACTAGTATAGGTGTCGCCCATCTTTTTTCCCCAACTATTTTCCAATAGTTTCACAATTAGTTAAAAAATAGACTACATTTAATTTCCTGTACATCTGCAGAAAGCAAAAAAAAATAAAAACAAAGTACAAACGCTGTTCCAAAAGGACAGCTCAATACTGTGATTACTGGGGAATGAAAAACAATTTGGATATATTCCATTTGCATTAATTTTTAATAGGAGAACCTGGGATTTTTGTCAAAAGACAACTCTACTGCTTGTGTTGTGCTTTAAAAGCACAGTAGCAAAAGAGTTTGCTTTGCCAATCTCATTACAAAAATTGTTATTAAAGTATCATATATGCATATCGTACAGTTTCTCTAGTGTGCTAATGAACACAAAAAGAGAA